TGGAAATGAGACTACTTTGGATTACTCATGAATCTACTAACCAATCCAACTGCATAACAAATGTTAGGTCTAGTATTACATAAATACCTTAGAGAACCAACCATCTGTTTGAAGGTTGTAGCATCCATATCCTCTCCATCAGAATCCAACTTCTGATTCGTATCAGCAGGTGTGACAGCAACCTTGCAATTTTCTAGCTCAAATCTCTTCAGAAGCTCTAGTTCATACTTCATCTCATGTAAAATGATTCCTTTATCAGAGTATATAAATTCCATCCCTAGAAAGAAACTCATTTTTCCAAGATCTTCTGAAGTGTGCTGAACATAAACACCATACTCCATCTCACACTTCTGAGACCCTTGTTCCTTGAAAAAGGAATCAATTTTCAAGTTCCAAGCTCTGGGCGCTTGCTTCAATCCATACAATGCTTTGTGTAATTTGAACACCATCCCTTCCTGATTCTTTTTATCAAATACATGAGGTTGTGAAACGTACACCTCTTCTTGTAATGGACCATTCAGAAATGAAAATTTTACATCTAAATGCATCAGAGGCCAATTCCTGTTTGCAGCTATTGCAATCACTAGTCTGATTGTTTCATGTCTCGCTACAGGTGTAAACACTTCAAAGTAATCTAGCCCAGGCTTCGATAGGAAGCCTCTTGCTACTAATCTCGCTTTGTGTTTACCAATTGATCCATCTGGCTTTAGCTTCTGCTTGAAAACCCATCTGACGCTGATGGCTTTCTTGCCTTTTGGAAGTTCTGTTAGCTTCCAAGTCTTGTTTCTCTCTATAGCATCAAGTTCTTCTTTCATGGCCTGTAACCAAACTTGGTGCTTAAGAGCCTCTTTCGTACTCACGGGTTCAGAGTCTACTAACATTGCACACTGAATAACTTCTCCTTCAGATTTACTTCAGTGTCTAGCAACATGTCAAACTCTGCAAATCTTCTTGGGATGCTTCTGACTCTTTGTTGCCTCTGAACTGGATCTTTAGAACTTTGAACACCAAAACTTTCTCCTTCAGAATATCTTGCTTCAGAGTTTTTACTTTCCCTAAAATCTTGACTATCTTCAGAGCCTTGAAAATTCCCAGGGTCTGAATCATCATCAGAGTCAGAGCCACTACCTTCAAAAATACCATCTTCGGAAGTTGGATCACCTATGCCTTCAGAAGTTCCTCTTTCATAATCATGATCATCGCCAAAGGCTGAATTTCCTTCAGAAGCTCCTCCTTTAGAAGTTTCACTTTCAGAATCATGATTTCTACCAGAAACATGATCATCTTTAGAAGCTTGTCCTCCAAAATCTACGTCTTTATAGTTTTCCCTTCTAGAAGCATGATCACCACCAAATTCTGGATCATCATCAAAATCTGGATCAGAATCAGATTCACCATCTGACTCACCTTCAAAGTTTCCAAAGTCATCATCTTTTGACTCTTCTTCAGAAGCAGCATCTTCTTCAGACTCAGAATCACCTTCAAATTCTAACTTTCCTTCAGCTTCAGAGTCATCTTCTGACTCTAACTCGTCTTCAGAAATCTCAGGTTCTAACTCATCTTCAAAAACATCAAAGTCGTCATATGATTCTAATTCAGAGTCATATTCTGATTCTGACTCATACAAAATAACTTCTTTAGAATCAGAATATTCAGAGTCATATTCTTCTTCCCCTTGAGAATCAGAAAATGAAAATTTCACTGGTTCCTCATCAGATTCATAAGCCATAAATAGCACAGGTTCATCATCTGAATATCCTCTTGCTATATTTTCTTCTTCTGACTTCCTTTATTTGTTGGACCATCAATCTCTGACATAGTGACCAAAGTTCTTACAACAATAACACTGAACATTCCTTTTGTCAGACTTCTCCTTTCCCTTCTGGACATTCTTATCATCATAAGTTGAGGCTTCTGACTTCTGGAATCTATCACCATGTCTATTCTGCTTCTGGTCTTTCTTGACAAAAGAAGCCTTCAGAGCTTACTCAACTTCTCTCTCAGAAGTTCTCACAGACAGACGTAACTCCTGTGCTTCTAAGCTGCTTTGCAATTCTTCTATTCTCATAGTTCCCAGATCTTTAGAATGTTCAATAGAAACAACAATGTAATCAAACTGAGGAATAAGCGACCTCAGAATCTTCTTTATGATTACATGTTCAGACAAATTTTCTCCACATGCCTTCATCTTGTTAGTGATCATAATCACTCTGGAGATATATTGATAAACTTTCTCACTGCTCTTCATGTTCAGATTCTCATATTGCTTTCATAGGGATTGAAGCTTCACCTTCTTTACTGATGCGTCACCACCGTAACATCTCACCAGTAAATCCCACGCCCCTTTTGACGTTGTTGAATCAGCAATCTTCTCGAACACACTTTCATTCACACACTGATGGATATAGAACAGAGCTTTCTGGTCCCTCTTCCTCATCATCCTCTCAGCAGTTCTCTGTTCTTCAGTTGCATCAGCTGCAGCTGGTACATAACCATCTGTAACCAGATCCAGAACATCTTGTGCACCAAACAACACATGCATTTGTATCATCCATCTATTCTAGTTTTTGCCATTAAAAACTGGAAGTTTGGTGTTCAAACTACCGTCTCCACTCATTTTAAACCTTGCACGGATTTTCAGATCTTCAAACACACTGTTTCCCAATCCACAAAATCAAATTCTGTTCAAATTTTGTTCAAGATTTCAACAGAAAATTAATGAACCAAAATCAAACACACAGCTTACAAACACTCGTGTTTCCAAGGAAAAACAGAACCAAGTGCTCTGATACCAATTTATTGGTGCAAGGTAATGAAAAGGGAGAAGAAGAATGAACAATGAATGATAACAAAGAGGACTACTATTGTATATCAAAAGAGAAATGAATGAGTTACAATATTAATAGCCTAGGTAGCATATTTATACTAAAAATGAAAATGCCAAAAGGCCCTATTAAAAAATAAACATTGAGAATCGTAGACATTAACTAAATTACATTTCCAATAGGCCCTTCCCCAATTTCTCCTCTCAATGAAATTCCTCCAAAAATATATATCTCTTCACCAAGAATCCCCCAAATCCATGTAAGATCCTCAAAATTTGTTGGTATGCTCTTGAAATGATGACGATTGTGTAGATGAACATTGCATGCATGCAAGGGAAGCTCACATACAAGCTCATCTTCCATGATTTTGATCTCCATTCCAAGTGTGGAAGGAGGTAGAAGAAAGAGAGAATAAGAAATAAAATATAATTTCTTCTACAAACTTTCCTTATATATGGTTATGGGCAAAATACTACAATACCCCTCATTAAAAATGTGAAATCCTTATTATACGATTTATCTTAAACCGATATTACTAATTAACTTTTGCAAGCAAAATTATGGCTTAGTGACTTGATTATGTTTCCTCAATTCTAATAAGTCTTGATTCTTCTTGAGATATCGTAAAAATAAATTGAAATGACGAAAGCACTTTATTATTAGTTTAAAATTACATAAATGCCTTCACTTCATTTTTTTTATTCTTAATCATCTTTTGATTACTGATTATGGCTTAATGAATAAATTATATCTTTCTAAACCTTAATTAGTATTAACTTTATTTGAAGTTTCATAAAATACTTAAAACAAAGTTACTCTTAAGGTAAAATATTCAATTTACCCCTTAGTCTTCTAATTTGATGATCCACATTACATCTTTGGTTCTCAAACACAAACACTACCTTAAATCCATCATAAATAAATCTCCAAATTAATTATATATTTTAATACCTCTATTAATTAAAAAAGAAAAAAATATGGTATATTAAAAAAATTTCGTAATATTTTACAGATTGAAATAGTCTTTTCATTCCTTTAGGTTAATATATTTTTTATTTTTGTCTCTATCTTTTTTTGGATGAAGTTTTTAAATATTAAATTTCATTTGATTTTAGTTCATAAAATTAAAATATGCAAAAAAAAAATTACAAATTTTTTGATATTTAACTTTACTAACTAAAATCAAAAAGATTTTAACATTTTTTTAAAAAATGTATAAAAATTAAAATAAAAAATAAGTCAACTTTTAGATAAAAAAACTATTTAAACCTATTTTATGATATCTCAAAAACAGAACATAGTGCTATCAATCTATGATAGAATATGATAATTTGAATTATTTAGAGAGTGAACACTTTATAGAGATTGAGCCATAAAACACTAATACTCTTGGAGCTTTTAAAAATTAAGTTCAATGATATTTAAATTTAATTTAACTCTTTTAATTTAATATTATATATATACACTATTATAAAAAGACCTTTCGTAACACATTATTACAAGGGCCTTCATGTTAATCGTGGTAATATCTCGTTTATGCGCACCTGTATTTTTCAATTGCAAAAAAATCATGAAAATCTGGATCCACCTTGAAAATATGAGTTTTCCAGCCTTTAAAACATGTCTTTGCCGTCAAAAATCGTCCAACCCGGTGAAAATCGCCTTCTAGAGTTAAATATATTGAATTTTGGGCTTTCTGCATTTATGGACTTCCATACGTGTATGTACACAGGTCATACACGTATGGACTTCTTCTGATGCCTCTTCATACGTGTAGGGACCAAGGTGGCTTATATGGGCCTGCCTTGTCCCATTCGCGTAACTTGTTGTGCGGATTTGGCGTGCTTCTGTTGGTGCCCCATACGCGTATGGGTACCCCTCATAAGTATATGGGAAGTAACATGGTTTTCACTCCCTTCTGCTACTACGCGTATTGCACATGGTAGGGTATAAGGCCATACGTGTATGACATGAGTCCATACACGTATGGGCATGAAACATGTTCTTTTGTCCATTTTCTTCTAATCGTGCGTTCTGGCCCAATTTTTTGATATGATAATCTTTCCTTTATTTCATCACCTACAACCAACATGCAAGCTATACCAAACGCGTAAAAATAGCTATGGAACACTCAGACATGATAAATACGGACTTCACAACAACAGACTCAAATAACTAAGAATTAAGACACAAGTAATACATTTCACTTGATTTTTGACGTTTAAATGATGATAAATATAACACAAATGGTGAATGGTCAGGGGTGTTACCCATAAGAGCCGTACAGAGGTAGGAGGCTGTGGGCGGCTCAAGAAGGGCGTTGTGATATGGCAGCGTGCAAGGCGAAAGCCTTAGCAGCGCGTGCAACGTTAGACCGCAATAGTGCGTGGGGCACATGCAACGTGATACCTCAGTGACGCGGGTAGGTGTAGTAAGGATGGCATGCAGTGACGCGCAGGCGGGAGGCTCCAAGGCGTGGCATTTGCTATTCGACGATTTGCGGTCTGATTCACTGAGTTTTTGAGTAATTTCAATTGACGTGGATTTTCACTGCTATTTTTATGAGTTTGAGTCATATTTTTATTTGTTTAAGTCTGCCAATAGAGTTGTGGGAAATACTTTAAATTATATAAAAATATCAGTTTTGAGTTTACGGCGAGTTTTTTTTGGAAATCCATGCAAATAACAATGTTGGCATATTTAATAGTTTAGGGAGAGGGTTTTGAGCAACCTTTGCTGATGGTAAATTATGGGTTTTTGGGAAACCCTCAAACACTTAAGGAAGTTGGATATATTATAAAATAATTGATTTTTGAGTTGTTTAGAGTTAGAGTTGAAGGTATATGACACTTTAGAGTTAAGTTTGAGTTATGCATAGTTAAAAGAGTTAAACATTGGGTTATTGAGTAGTTTAGAGAAAATTTATTGAGTTGTTTAGAATTCAATTGTAAGTTGTTTGACGGGTTGGAGTTTGGTTGATTCTATTTTGAGTTCCTTGGAGCTCTGTTGAGTTATGAGTCGACTCTGTTGAATGTTGATGGTTGTGTAAGGCTATATTTGCCTTGTTGATGAGCATTGTTTGAATAATCATATAATTATATGTATTGAGTTAAGTTGTAATTATATATTATACTAAGTTGAGTAGTTCATAGGAACCACAATATTGGCCTTACATTAGAAAATGTGTGGGTTCAAAGAGGAACCAGTAACTGATTATTACATTGATATTGTTGTTTATTTCATGCATTAATGTATGATGAAGATAGGTAGGACTTCAGTCTTGTGAGGGTCATGGTTCAGAGAGGAACCAATGACGGGTCTCAGGTTCATAGTGGAAACATGTTTAGAGAGAAACTAAAGTTAATGGATAAATCAGTAACATAACTCTAACATCCAAACCTTGGTACCACATGCATTTGGAGGATAATTACATTGCATTACATATATGAATTGTGATTGTTTGTTGTAGAGAATCTATAATATGTGATTGATAATAATGTTATTAAAACTATCATTGTTGTTTTATACACCAATAACATTGGTTAATTTATTCTGACCTCTAATTGTTGTTCTGTTAATTGTTATGCTAGTGTTTTGGATATCTAGGTAGATGAGCATTAGATGACCGTGTTAAGGAATGATGCATATTTCCTTCTTCTTTATTTATCGATCCGAGTTATATTTTAGTATTTTTGTGGGTCGTTCTGATATGTAACATTGGGATGAGATATCTTTGATTTTCTTGTGTTCTTTTTCTTTATGAGTTTTGTTGGATTAATTAACAATGCTTGAATTCCGAGTTATATCATTTATGAGACATTTTGGTTGAACCCGTTTTTGAGTTTCCGCTGTTTTATTCTATAAAAAAAATTGAGAAGGAGGTTTTATGAAAGATACGTGATACCATTGCTGAATAAATAAGTATTTTTGTATGATTTTATTTAAATAAGAGTTTTCAAGATTTAGGGTATTACAGAGGCAAACTTAGGTCGGGAGGTGAACCATATTTATCCTAGAAAATTGTAACTTATCAAAACTTATAAATTGATGGTGTTGTACCTCAAAATTTTCCCTCCCATTTTCTTCAAAACATACTCACAAGGGTCTCAAATACTCAAAGTCACTCAAGAGTTGATCAAACAAACTCACCTCCTAAGCAATGGGTCCACAACTAGGGTTTCATCTTGTATAAGGGAGAATTGGTTTCGAGGGTCTAAAATTACTTTCACAGTCCATCATAGGTCCTAAATAATGCTTATGACAAGTTTTAAGCCTTGCATCACAAGTTTGCTCAATCAATTGCTCAGATGACTGAAAATCAACTGTATTGGACAAAAAGTCAACTATGGTCAATATACAGTCAAACTTTAAGATCTTTTCTCAACATCAACATTATTAGGTGATATTCATCATTTGATTAAGGGTTGGCCATAATTTCTCAAGGAAAGCCCTCAAATCATCAAAGGTCAAAAATTGCCAAAATTAGAGTTTTGACCGAAAGTGACTGATCATTGATTGTTGACCTAGTGCATGACCTAATAGCTTGACGCGTGATCTTGAGGACTCAAATAAACAACTTGACCTAATGACATGGCTCAAAATATTTCCAAATATGCAAGTGATTTTAGTTGAAGAATTGAATCAATTGATGAAAAGTCAACAGTCACACAAAAGTCAAACTTTGACTTTTTGGTCAATATTGGAATTTAAAAATCAAGAATTATCAAGATATTCAAAACTATCAAACTTTTTCATCAAGAATCAAGAAAGTCAACAAATGTCAAAAGGCATGATTTTCAAACAATTAGAAAAAAATTCAAGTGTTTTGTACCTAAAAAACCTAACTTCACAAGCAAGTTTCCTCAACATACAAGCTCATTCAAGGAAAACTTTCAACATGTCAATGTGGATAAGATAATAAAAAATACTTTAACACTATACAAATATGTTATCAAATGGTATCATTGATAGGGAATTACAACGCCTTATTTTGACATATTAGTACTTCATATTTTCTAAGACTATTACAGAAAACATTTTTCACAACGGTTGGGAAATGAGTATTATCACATAGGTCATATTGTTATTAAGTAAGGTGTAATTATAAGTCTGTTGTATCTATCACGGTCTGGAAATTGTTATTGAAAGGCAGGACACGCGCCACTTATCACAACGGTTATACTTATAAATCATTGTGATATATACACTTAGGTATTGGGTTTAAAATCCATCAGCAGCAAATTATGAAAAACATATATGAATTTTGATCACGGTTACAATAGCCAACCGTTGTGAAAAGTTCCCAGAGTCTAGTATATAATATGTAGATTGTTTGTTTTCCATACACCTCATTAAAGAAATACGAGCTTTCAAATTGATGAAGAAGTCTATAATCTAAAATTAAGTTATTCTTGAAAACCAACTTAAACAAACCATTGTTTTTCTGATTGCACGCGTCTCATCGTGCATTTCATGCTCTTTTACATATATATTGTGGTTTATTGGTCTAACTCCTTCGATATATTGTTATCTTCGATTATCGTTAAATTTCTATAACAACAAGACATTGGATAATCTGTCTCATCATCATCACTTATCATCTTAATTTTCATAATTGTAATTTTTAGGATCATTAGTGCTGATGATGGGGCAGATTATCTAATAAACTATAGTTAATAAAATTTAACTATAATCGAAGACAACGATGCATCTGAGTAGCCAAGTCATCATACCATAATCTATATGTAAAAGAACATCAAAAGAACGATGATACACATGTAATTCGGAAACAATGATTGATATAAGTTGGTTTTCAAATACAATTTAGTTTACAGATTATAAGTATCTATGTCAATTTAAATGAATATATTTTAAGTGAGGGTTAGTGAAACAAACAATATACATATAATATAACAAACTTAAACAACATCATACAACAGAACCAGATATTATAAATTTATGAGCAATGAAAAAGATATATTATAGATTTCCAGGACACACCTTTTATTGAAACTAATCGCGGAACATGAATCAATTCTGAAGTTCATCTAGTTTGTGAAACAATGAAAAAGAAATATAAGGAGGAAGAAGCTTACACAATAATTCCATACTTCTTATATTTCTTCTCATTGTATCTCAAACTAGATGAAATTTGTTGCCGTTATTGTTTCTTCATTAACTAAAATGTGTTGTTCTTGTTGAGTCCTACAATAACCATGAAAGTCATTAACATGTGAAAATGCTAACTTATTTGTCAACAGAGTATGAAAACATCTTGTTTGTGAAGCTATAAAGAAAAAGTATAAGGTGGATGAAGTTTCCATCATAGCTTCGTGCTTCTTGTGCTTTTTTCTATAGCTACACAAATAATATGTACCATAGTCAAAATATTGTCTTTCTTAAGGTAGTGAAGACGAATATGAAAAAATGAGAACAACTAATCAACAAAAACAACATACAACAAATGAGATAATGTGGAACTATCTAACAATAAGGTGTAAGAAGAAGGATACTTTAATGTATGAAGCACACGATTCACGGCTAGTGGAGAAAAAGAGGAGAAAAAATGGGTGCTAGGGTTTCACTGTGAAGGAAACGACGCCACTGTCAATAAGTGAGAGTTAATTGACTTATATATGGATGAATTATTTCACAACGATCTCTGACAACTGTATTGATAAGTATTTATTTATTATAAATATATCACAACGGTGAAACGTACCAACCGTAGTCATATCAAGTTTTTTATATAAAAATAAATAAAAAAGAAAACACGCGCCTTAACATTAAAAAAGAATAATATATATAATAGCTTTGATGTTTGGACCCATGAAAACTTGTTTTTCAACCATTGTTATATACAAATAATTTTTAATTAAAAAACAAAAACAATATAGGAACATCTAATTTTAGAGATATCACCATGATATAATAAAGAATTATGATGACTATGACGTTGTTATTTACACGTTCTTTAATAGTATAAGAATTTTATATTTATTCTTTTAACGTTAATTTTCTACTAACTCTTGGTGTTGATATCTAGTTTGTTCTTGTATGCGAGGTAAAACTCAAGCCTATCAACTTTTTACATTGAAACTGAAATGACGGAATACAAAGAGTTAAGTAAACCTTAAACAAACAAAAAAAGCTTCACAAGCTTAGAAGAGAACAATAGAAACATCTTCCTAGTTGTTTCAGATTTTACCATATAAAATGACATGGCAGAGAACCCACCTCCACCCCCACAAATGACCAAATAGTCCAAAACGACTTGTTTATATTAACAAACCTGGACCAAATCAAAGATAGATAAAAATGAAAAGAAGATTTTGCAATTGCTTATTGACTAGGGTTGGGAATACACTCTCCATAACGGTTCACTACAAATAAAAAATCGGTATTTAGTAGAGGTTTTTATTTCGATTTAAGAGGAATTTTTACCTTTTAATGAAAAGTTATTTTGCGGAGGTTTATAACCTCTCCCCTTGCTTTTATATTAAAAAGTAGAAAAAATAAGTGATACACTGAATGTGTAAACAAATTTATATTTTCAATCAATTACGATTATAAATTT